GCATGCATCATTAAAGTGTCAAACGTATGTTTACATATTAAAGTGTATTCACTTTTGAGTGACAGCGGCTCAGACTCGTAGCCAATCATCAATTCCCGTCCACTGGTGGACGGGGAATTCGATTACACTGCCAAACCCAGCAGGCGGTATTTACCAGGCTTGCCCAATTTTAGGAACCGCCTGCCATGCAGGCTAACTGCATGCAAACAGATACAAGGGAATATTATGAATGTTGAACTTGAAATGCGAATGCAAATTGAGCTAACGTAACAGACGTTCGGCGGACGTTCGCGTCAAACTCAGATATACTCAGAAAAGGTTTCTGCCTATTAACTTTCTGACGAGCCTTGGCTCTCAACGTGTCTCCGTTTTGGCCATGCGTAATCGCTAATCGGCAGTTATCCGACATGGGTTCGAAATAGAATTTAGCTTCACTTAAGATTTTTACTATAATTTTTATAACTGTTTAGAACACGCGGCCTTAAATTTATTCCCTTTGGTTGCATCGTAGACTTTTCAGTAAAGTCTGTCTATTTAATTATTTTTACTTCACAACCATTAGGAAAAAAGTTTTGTTTATTTTTAGTGTATTACGAGGAAATTTTTAAATTGACTAAAATTATATTAGTTATGAAATTGATTGTGTCGTTTCATTAGATAATCGTTTAATGAAAAATAAGATAGTTAGACAAACGGACGGGTAGAGGATGGATTTATTTTTATTTTCTGAGACAAAAGTAGGATAATAATAATAATTTTCAATATTTGACCCGTTTGCCGCGGCTGAGAATTGATCCCGCTAGTCAGCTGATCATCGCATGTCTAGACTGTGCCACAGCCCCTTCAGGGCGCCTGTGGGGGTCACAAAAGTTAAGCTACATGTGGAGCGGGTTGCCCGCGGAAAAACGAGCGAACGGGAGAGGGAGGGGAAAAGGCACTGTGGACATTCTATTAATAAATGGGTACACCGCGTTGTTCAGACGGCCTTTTTATTGATTGGAAGATGAATTGATTGACAAACCCTTCAAGTGGCTGATTCATGTGCAGAGGATTGTTGAGACGAATGTTTCCGACAATTTGTCGTGGTTTCAATGCTAAAGCGTAAATAATAGGAAAGTATATTTAGTATAATGCCCAGTATTGACGTATTGGTCGTGTTTCCAATAGAATTTGGAAAGAACGTAATTTATCAATTGTTTTTGATGTCTAAAAGTCGATTAATCAAGGATGTCAACAAGGGGGCCATGGCGTTTGCAATTTCGCCATTAAAAAGCACTGGTGGAAAAAAATGAATGGATTTCAATCACCTTGGGTTTCCAGGGATTTAATATTCCGTCGACAATGGTCCGAAATTGATACGTGATGAAGAGGGGGCCCTTAATGGAGGAAGAGGGGGCCCTTAGGCATATTTGGTGTGTGGGCCCCTGTTGTCATTGTTTGACTGAGATATTATATTTATATTGAATATTTACAGAATGTTCTGGAAAATTTCGTGTCAATAACAAAAACAGTCTCCAACACATGTAACAACCAATAAGAATAACTTTTGTTTTACTTGAGATGGAATAAAAAATCAGCTACCGTTGTCGATGGAGGCTTTATTATTTAGCATTGTTAATTTTTCATTTTCTTCACCTGCATCTTTTACGTTTTCTAATTTTCTGGGCGATAGGCTGTGGCTGATGGGGGCCACTAACTGTCGTGGATCCTTAGTTTTTTAACTAACCCTAACCAATGAGCGCTACGCCACTGGTGATGCAGAGTGCAACAAACTGTAGTATACGGTTCTGATATTTGGACATGATAAACGATTTTTAACATTCGAAATAGGCCACTTTAACAATTTCCATTTTAAATATATTTATGTGTGCATGCATGCACTCTGTTTATATCCTTATAGATCGCTATGTTGAACGCGAACAAGCACAAGAATGCTATATAGAGCCCTTCCCTTAAAATACCCAGGAGAGTTTACTTTATTGTATGTATTGTCAGAAACCGTTCATCAGCATCTTGATTTTGTTCTTTTGCTTTTTGGCACTGAAAGCATGCTTACCACTCAACCGAAAGTTTAATCTGTTGAATTCTTCTTTGTCCATTGCCCCCTTGGGTGGTTTGCCCAGATAATCTTTGTATTCCTGGAAAAGACCTATTTGATGATGCTCTGCCTGCAGCTACAAGCGGTTTGAACAATCATCAATGACGAGACATCGACATATACCCTCTCGAGAAATTCGGCAAAATATTATCCCCAGGAATGAATAATACCTCTCTGGAACGGGGCATATCAACTTACGAGGCTGAAAAAACAACGTCTGGGGAATTTAATGATAAATTGAATGATCATATGGTATAAATGCAGCTTTCCGATTGGGGAAACTATAATTATGTATAGGTTATTTTGAGGCAACGAGGGGATATGTGATTTATTCACCGAGGCGCGCAGCGCCGAGGTGAATAAACACATATCCCCGAGGTGCCTCAAAATAACGTACTTATTTTTCACATTGCGAGGTCGCGTTAATGAGTCAGAATAGAAATAATTCTTAATGCCATATTGCCTTTTACGTCGTTTTTTCTCATTTTTTGTGCTGCAAAGACATTGCAGGTGAATATTAGAGGGGATTATTAATTGCAGGTGAATATTAGAGGCGATTATTAAACGGAAATTGATTAGAGGAGAATATTGAATATATTCCCCGATATAAGAACAAAGGAAACCGAGCAGGGTGAAAAATAAGGAATAATATTACATAAACAGCATACCTGTGGCATCTTTTGTCTGTGTTAATACACCTTTAATGCTACTCAGTTCATGTTTCATTTCATTCATTTCATATTTCACTTCACTCATTTCATGTTTCACTCCACTCATTTCATGCTTAACCTCACTTTCGAGAAAGAGATAGAAGTTATTTCTCAGACGAGTGATTCCTTCATTGAGTTTTTCTACTTCCTTTGTAGGAAAATCCGACTCTTTCATGTTGCCAATCCTCTCCAGAGATGTCGTGCTAAAATTCAAAGCGCTGAACGCGTCTTTGGCGTGCTTGACATAGTCATCGAACGTGACTTTATTAATTTGAGGGCTGGATGTATGACAGAGGGTGTTTCGTAAAAGACGAAGCTGATCAATGGCAAGTGCAATCGTCTCGTTTACATCTCCACTCGAGCTCCTCACGACAGAGTGGAATGGAGCAGAGGCGGGCTTTCGTCCTTTTAAATACATTTCTCCAAGCGTCTTTTTCTTTCCTGTGCTGTCTGGTAGCGCAAATGTTCTTGCATACAGAGTAGCTTGAAATAGTGCAGTGCAGTCCCACTCTTTAAATGAGTTGTTCGTCGGCATTTTTGTGTTTGGAGCCTCATTGTTGTGGAGTATATTGCGTACAAGAGGCGAGTCATCCCAAACTGTGGAACTTGGTGCTACTCTGGTGTCCCACATGTGTACAAACATGCCACGCAAAGCATCAGGGAATTCCTTTAGAACAATTGACGCAAACTTGAAGTAGCTCAGCTCTTCATCAGAATACGGCTGCATAGACATGTTGACTGACTTTCTGAGTAAAAATTACACAAAAAAGAACATGAAAAATTGATACAAGGAAAAACATCTGCATGACTTGCAAATTTAATGAACGTATAAGTTAAGGAGGTTACAGTTTACGACGCAATGTTTCGAAATTCCGGTAGGGTTGGACGGTATTGAACAAATCATATTTAATTAACAAATCTGTGAAATTATCATGATATTCGATAATATCGCGATAAATGTATTAAAAACAATGACCGTCGTTTCAATTTCGGATAAGATTTACAACTAATAAGATACATCAGTTTATATCTTATTTATAAAGATTAAAATTTTATTTCATTATTGCATAAAGTTGTCAACTGCGATAGTGGCAAAGCTGGAAAACAAAGGAATGATGTACACATGCCAAAAACATGACGATATCGATAGTCATTGATACGAAGAAATAAAATATTTTATAAGACAGTTAAATTTTTACATTTTATGTTTTTCAGTCATTGAATTGTTCATGGAAATACGTTGGAAATGACGGAAATGATGTAATATTGTTTATTTCGGTTTGCGAGAGTCGCACTTCACTTTGGGAAGCACAGAAATATTATATGTTATGATTAAAAATTTTTTAATTTTTGGTTGCTGGAGACTGGGGCTAGCGGAACAATGCGTAAATGGCGTAGGTGAGTGCACAGGTGTTATCGAAGCGTGTAAACTTTTCACGTATATTATTGACAAGATAATCAATCAATCAATCAATCAATCAAAATATTTAATCAAGGTACCTACGATCTATTTACAGGAGGTAGGTCCTTGCAGGAGGATCGGAAGGTTAACCCTATATAAGAACCCCCTTAGAAAGGATTAGTAGATAAAAAAGTGTTAATAGTATGTACATTAATGAGTGTATATTAGTAAACTAAGATAGACATATTAGTAAATTAGTAAATTAGCAAATTAATAAATATTCATGTGGCGCTTGAGTTCCTGCTTAAAACTACGAAAACTACTCGCTTCGACGACGTTCAGAGGCAAAGCGTTCCATGCAGTGACTATTCTGACAAAAAAAGAATACTTATAAGAGTTAACTCTAGAAAGCTTGGTATATAGTGTATATTTGTGATTTGATCTGGTTTTC